CAGTTGTACTTTTCTTTGCATTGTTACTTTTTTTCTTTAATATCACTTGATTAGTTTTGTATACATTTCAAGAATCACTTGTTAAGCTAGCTATTTCGTTATAGCATTTTGGCTTTCATTTAACCATTGGGGTGGTAGTCTAATGATAACAAATAGAGTTGATTTATTTGTGCCCTAGATTTAACACTCTACTGGACAAAAAATTATTTTTAAATTAGAACATCGAAAGTTTAGCTGTTCAGCAAACCAAATTTGATTATATTTTAGTTAATTAATATAAAAAGACTCCCCGCCAAATACTACATCTAAAACATTAAAAGAAACAAAAAAATTCTTCCAAATATAATTAAAATTTACCACTTGAAATAAAAATAGGGACTCATAAAAATATACAAATTGTTCATCTTTTCTTTACAGGTGGAACCAATTTGTCTCCCTCGAACACCAATGACAAATAAACTCGATGTCTAGATTACTTTTTTCTTTCTATGAAACGTTTTACTAAGCCTCTCGTTTACTTTTATATCTCCTACAAAATATCCATGGAAACACACCATATTATTGTCGTCATGAACCTATATGCCGTCTCTCAGATCCATCCCAACCTCACACACTTTCTAGGGTGCAATCTCGGAGTTTCTTCCCAAACTCTGCTTGCTTTGCTTGCGAGGGTGAGATTTTGCAAGACAGTTCGTATAGTTACTACTGTGATACTTGTGATTTGAAGTTTTATTGGGGTTGTCACGGGTTTCAACCAGAGATTATACACCCTTTTCATCCCTCTCACCTTCTTACCCTCATCTCATTGGATCTTGAAGTTGATGATTCTAAGTTATCTGATTCAAGAATATACAATGATGATGGAAAGTATGAGAAATGCAAATGTTGTCGGATACTATCATTGTTCGGTTTGCAACTTCAGCTTCAATGCTTCTTGTATGACAAATCCACCACCTCTTACTATCACACACCTAAAGAGCCATGACCATACCCTTACCCTCTTCCCTAAAAAGTTCCCTTTGCCATGTGATGCTTGTGGTTTGTCTCTCGAAGATCGCACGGATTATGTTTACGCATGTCACCCATGTAACTACATGGTTCATGAAACATGTATCTACTTACCTCGTGTTATTGGGATCACTCGTCACCCTCACCGCCTCTCTTTCACTTCCTCTCTTTCTCCTGGTGATTTCTCTTGCGGAGTTTGTCGCAAAACCGTCGATGTCAACTACGGGCAATACTCTTGTACCAAAGGATGTCATTATGCTATCCACTCAAAATGTGCAACGAGGGAAGATGTATGGGATGGGAAAGATCTTGAAGGAGTACCCGAAGAATCCATCTTCTAAGCATCGAAATCCAGTAACTGCATTAACATATACTAAAATCGATCGGAGTTACATCTAGTTCCGGGTCACATGGTATGAAACGTTACCGGAACACTCCGTTGGAGAACCCAAAGTAAACGTTACCGGAACAAGAAAATAACTTTTCTGTGAAACAGATCTGCACCCAAAGTAAACATGTTATTTTGATTATACTAAAACAATATCACTTGTAAAGAAAAAGTAACCAGAAAAGACAAAGAAGGCAGAGTAACATGTGATCATGATGAGAGCAAAAAAAGTTGTCTCTAGTAACAACCTCAATAATTTTGTAGTATATTATATTTTTACGTGATGAGGACAAATTGCATATGGATCCTTTTCACATTGTCTTCAAACCCGAACGCATGCTCCTCACATGCTGAGAGCAAAATATAGTTTTTTCTTTAGTCCCACTGAGGAGTCTACTTACATTATCCCACTATGGAAAAAATGGGATTGAGAGGAGTTATTTGAAGTTTTTACTGTACCAGTTGACTGTACTACAAAGATTACTACAAGAGGTGATACAGAAGCTGAGTTGTGTGATTTGTAGAGAGGAGCTCGTGTATTGATATTCACAAGCGTGAATTGGGCTAGAAAAAAAAAAAGAGATATTTACTTGGAGGAAAAGAGAAAGATATTCTAAGAATATATTTTAGAAAAAAATAAAGAAAGGATAATCACATGAAAGGAAAGTTTCTTTAAGGTTAAGGAGGTGCTACTTATTAGTTAGTATATATAGAGGAGGCTTATGGCTAGAGTTTTCTCGTGCCTTTGTGAAGAAAAATACAGAGAGTTTATTGGAGAGAAGAAGGTATCTTCGT